GTGTGGATATATCTGAAATATTGAAACGTTTCAAGCCACACAGGCGGATTCCGATTGTAGAAGAAGACGAGACAATCTTTGGCTCTCTCCTGATGCTGGCCATTAAACCGGTAACCGGTTATTGTCCGGTTTACTAAGCGATTGTATATCCACACGTGTGTTTTGTCAGGAAATGAAAGTTTGTTGTATTTTTTTTTTTCTCTCCCACGGGCCGAACTTTACGTCTGGTGGGCCTCACAGTTTAAAAACTCACGAGCCTGTTTATATGATACTGAGGACAGAAATATTTTTAAATAGAAATTTTGAACTAAACATTTTTTTTTCTCCGAATAGTACATGAACTATTAAGTTTTTCTTCATTAATACTCGTTCTAACAAACCGTAAAAGCTTGATACTCGTAACCGGAGATGTACTCCTAACTATTTTGGAGAATTCGTAAGTTCGATTCTTAAGAATGCGGTAGAATTTAGCGTGAGTGAAAAATGGTGAGAGATCCCAACAATGCCTAGTTTACTTAAAGGCATTTTGATGTACTCTCTATTTTTGAAAATATATGATGTTTTTAGGGTTTTTGTTTGTTTGTTAATATTAATATAAAATGTTTTCATTTCTCTATCATAATTAATTGTTTTTTTTTAGTGTTTTTGACTCTTTGAATTCTGCAGAGTGGTTTTTCTATTAGCTGAAATGTTTCTGATAAATAAAAAGTAATGTTTTATTTTAAAAAAACAATAAAAATTTAATGATTTTTTAATTGGAATGCATAAACCTCAAACATTTTATATTTACAAACAGAGAGAGTATTACACAAAAACATATAATTCGAGCTGAAATGTTATGCTACACCACTGAACAAAACAAAAACAAAAACAATTTCACAATAATTCATTATAGGTTAAGAGTCATGGATTTAGCCAACTCTCAATAAAGAGGATATATCATACATAACTAAAAACATTGAGTCCTTATATGATAGTAAGAGACATGATCCAAACATCTTATCATTCTTATTCTTAGACATTACATGATTTTCTGCCTTTTTTCACTTGAGCGAACCAGAGAAATGAACATCACAATCTGATTGCATATTTTATCATCAAGCTTTTGCCGGGTTGAAATTAATTGAAACACTGTTAACGCAATGTCGTTCATCATTTGGAGTACCATAACCTTCTCCTTTGAAAACATGGCCTAAATGTCCGTCACACGCTACACAAGTGATCTCAGTTCTTCTACCATCTGGATCAGGCTGATAATGTAGAATCAAATCAAGTAAAAAACATGATTTTTTAGTAACCAACCAATACTCATAAGACCTAAACCAAAACATACAAAAGATAATCTTTACCGTTCGTTTTATAGCACCGGGAAGTCCTTCGAAGAAAGCTGGCCAACCGCATCCAGAATCGAACTTTGTGGTGGATTTATAAAGAGGAGTTTTGCATCCTACGCAGCTGAAAACTCCTTCCTTGAAAAACTTATCATATTCTCCAGTTCCTGGCTTTCTGTAATAATCCGCAAAAACATTCAAAAACTAATTCCTCAAACCGCGATTGAAAATGGACTTAAAACTGACATTGCGGTTGAAACAAAATGAATCCTTGTACATTATTAAGTCTGATTTTATCAAGAAATATAGGTTTCCTTTACGGTAGAG